TTTTTACATCAGCTTTGCAGACAGGGCACTCTGATGGCAAAGCAGTTTATTTTGTTTGCAATGCTTGGGCAGATTTTATTTTTTTTTACAACATTTGCAGTTTCAGGGCCAGCATATTTAATGCATCGACGAATGGCTTGTTCCTGGATTTATATTCATGTTCATCAGAATCATAACAGCCTTGGAGTTCACTTTTCCTAAAACAATTTACTTTTATTTAACATCCTTTGATTATTGATTAGATACCTGCAGCTCAATTGATATTATGATGACTGTACACAGCTGAACTCTGTGTTGAATGTTATTAAATGTTAGCATGACAGTTGTTTTTTCTGTGTAGTGAAATTGTGCTTTTATTTTGAAATATATCACTTCTAGTAGACCTTAAGTTATTAAACTAATGAAAACAGTTAAAGAAACAATCAGAAAGTGTCAATGTGAAGTGTCAATGAAGTAAAGGCCCTGTCATAATTCTTTCTGTCTTCACACTCAAAGTTTTGAATTAGTATTCCCTGAACTTGCTCACACTTTTTGTGATATTCTACTTTTTATTTCTTGAACAAGCCAGAAACTCTCTGCTCAGAGAACATTTGACGACATGCAATAGTAGCTTGTGTAGATGCTCAGTGCTGAAATGTAAGCTTCAATCTTTGTAAACCAGATTTGTAGTGTCATATATTTTTAAATATAGATTCTCACCAAACTAAATATTAGTCACCTTAAACATCAAACAGACAAGTATCATATTTAGAGTTAAATCCTTGGGCTAATGGGACATTAAGGCAACTTTATATCCTCCTAATACCTTCAAAAGCTGCTCAGAAGTTAATTTATTTTCCACAGCATGAGAAGGATTAACAAACTTGACCTACCTTGATTTGTATCTGAACCAACCCTACATGGTTTAGCACCTAATCACCTGTTCGTAATTTATACAGAGATGGATCCTCAGTAATGACTCCTCTAATGGATACTTTCAGGAAAGGAGGCAGAGAAACCAAGGAGTGGAGTCAGGAGATCAAACAGGAACTTAAGCCTCAATATCACAAGTTAACAATGAGACTGAATGAAGATGTTGTCGCTGTGCTCTGGTTGCTTCATTTACCTCCCTTGACTTTGCTTCATGACATCCTCTGAGCTTTTTCCTAGAACAGGGCCAAAGTGTCAGATGCGAAGACAGTTATTAACATGATATAACAGTTATTGCACAGCATTGATCATTATGTAAATAAATGAGATAAAGTAAGATTTTAAATAGCAAAGTTTGCATCACAGGATACAACTGTGCACCAACACCATTCTCTCTGCATCTTTCTTATATATCCACCAGTCGGCTTCTTTTTTGAAAAACATGGTAGCTCTTAATAAGTCCACATGAAACCCCTGTCCTCAGATCCTTTGCACTAATGGTAACAAGCTGCCAAGTAGCACAACAATAATATGACTTTTTAAGTCCTAAGCTGGCTAGTTATCCTGGTTTGCCACACACTGCTAAGCATCAGTGGCATGTGACAACAAGACAGAGTTCAAAGCCTCTAAAAGGTGGACACAGGCCACAAAGACTGAACCCCTTGGAGGCTGCAGCTCCTGGATCAGGACACATCAACTGAAAAGAGTTGTAATTTTATTTCCTGTACCATCGGCAGCAGGACACTGCAGCAGCCAAGGGGACAAATTAACACTTGATTTGAAAAAGTATGTGTTAATTTCTGACCTTAATCATATCCTAATCAACACATTAACTCACATGAACTCTGACCCTGTGAGTTGGATAGTGATGGGTATAAAAATACAAGGCCAAGTTAGACACTAAGAACTTCATATTCCTCTTATGGCACATTTAACTTGAAGAAAATGTGATCCATGTGATGATCCTTCCAGCCTAGTCTGACAAGACAAGGTTTTTTTTTTTTTTTTTTTGTGTGTGTGTGTGTGTGTGTGTGTGTGTGTGTGTGTGTGTGTGTGTGTGTGTGTGTGTGTGTGTGTGTGTGTGTGTGTGTGAGAGAGAAAATGTGAAACTGGCTTAATTAATCAAAGATATAAAGCCCATCCGCTCTGGTTTTCCTATCAGTCAAAGTTTTGTGCCTGCTTTTTAAAATAAATTCAATTAGCTTGGATCAGAAAAGGTGAGTTTAATTGGGAAAGAAAGTCCATTTTAAATTCTGCTGTCACTGAGGAGCTCTAGATAAGCAGGTCCCCTCCACATGATTGAAGCCTTGAGGGAACTCACTAAGTTCAAGGTTGGGCGTTTCATGAAGATAAGCCACTGTGCTATCATGACAGACCTGAATTCTCAGGTGTCCTTAAGCTTTGGGCCAGTCAGAGGAAAAATGCTGCTGAGGAAGGACGGCCAGTGCTGTAGGCAAACCCATCAAACCTGAAAAGCTGAACAGCAGACTTCAAGCCAAGAACATGTTAGGCAGGGCATTGACAGCTGGAGGTCAGTCATATAATTGCTCATATAAATACTAGAATTATAGTTTTCTGAATGGTATGAAGTGCTGAAGATACTGAAGGGGATTGTTGCTTACTGAATGTGTGCTTTAAGCTTTTAGTTGTATTTTTTTCTGCGCTAACAACTGCAAGAAGCAAGGTTTTCTGCTGTTGCAAAAGATTATAGTTTAACTCAGATGCTCTCCAGGGGACAAAGAATCACACAAGTGCTATCTTTGGCAGCTGGAGAGTGTTTCCCCAGGAGGGCTATAACAAAATCTAAAATACACATACTCTATACAACAGATACACACACACACACACACACACACACACACACACACACACACACACACACACACACACACACTCTGTATACCAACACTTAGCACATGCTATACACAAAGTTAACATACGCACATGAGTAAGTCATTACGATGACGATGTCCTACTCTAATCCAGGATCTCAAAGAAGCTCCAGGTTCAAAATGTGTCCACAGTCTCTGCTCTGCTGTCGTCTTCCTGATCCTGCTTTAAAGACAAAGCCAATATGTGATGAACTTCGCTGTCCCTTGGACATACAGGGAAGAGTGGGGTAAGTTGAGCCGAAGGGTAAGTTAAGCCACCCCCTGTTTCTTGGAAATGGTAAAAGAAATTGCGATCAAATATTTAGGAGATGGTCATTAATTCATGGGGTCTGTGAAGGTTAGAAGCACATGGGGGAAGGGGTGAGACATTTATTTCCAAAAAAACATTTTTCACTCCTGAAAGTGAATTTAGTCCATCATAAGTTTTATTAGAACTTTGTTCAGACCAAAGAAGATCATTTTAAATTTGTTTTATACATTAATTGTAGTATCTATGAGCTACGACATGAGGTCAAAAACCTAACATAAAAGTCCACCATTTTTGCTTAGATGACTAATAATGCCATAGTAGTAGTTCTGGGGTAAGTTGAACCAGTGGCTCAACTGAGAAAGTAAAGAAGTCTGATTAGAGGATCAGAGTTTCAGTTCAGATCGTTTTTTTGAAGACTCCAAAAACAGGCAACTGTACTGTGTAGAGTTGAGAAGTCATTTCGCCTCTTATCCGAGAAGCTTCTTCAGTTCTGATTATTGCTAGTGTGAGGAGCAGATATTTATCTTACTGAAGAAGGGGACAGACAACGACTGGGAGGAGTTGGAAAGAATGGGTCATAGAAACCCATCTCCGGGTGTTCCCCCCCGAGGGTCATTAACCTGAAAGGGTCGTTAACGACCCCTGTCATGTGACCACATGACTCATGCCACCTGGGTCATGTGAGAGCTGAGAACTGCATTGTAAGTGCCGGAGAGATTGTGCCTGAGTCCACCTCCTCTGTTCAGAGAAGGTTTCTCCAATCTGGTAAAGATGGCTTCTTTAACTCCTTTCAAACCATCTGTCTTCTCTAGCCAACACCTGTACATTGCTATCCTCGAAAGAGTGACCTGTGTCCTTTAAGTGAAGGTGGACAGCTGAGTCCTAAACTGAGGAAGTGGCTCTCCTGTGTTGAGCCATGTGCTTGTTAAGCGGTTGTTTAGTTTCCCCAATGTATACGTCCAAGCATTCTTCGCTGCACTGGACAGCATACACCACGTTACTTTGCTTATGTCTCGGTGTTTTGTCCTTGGGATGGACTAGCTTCTGCCTTAAGGTCCTTACACACCAGCGAATTTGCGGAGCGAAGCAAAAAAGCGAGACGAAAATGCAAAAATATTCGCCGGTCCAAAAAAACGCTTTCGCCTATACACACCGGGCGCGAAGCGAATATGCGTATAAATTTTGCAAAGTGAATTAATAAATATATATTGTCTTTGGCACGAGTTCTTTCGCGCCACGGAGGAGAGGAGAACAAAGAAATGGAGTCAACAACATCCTCAAGTGATGATGAGCTCGTTGTGATGGTTTGGCAAAAAAAAGAAGACAGAAGAATAAACAAAGGAGTGTTTGGGTACATCCCATATTGACTTTGAGGAAGGAGATAGGCGATTTAACGACCTCCTTCAGCAGCTGACCCCACGACTGGAGATTTGTATCTCTTTGTAGATTTCTATCCACCGGTGATAGCTTTACAACTATTGCCACAAGCTTCCATCTTGGGGTCTCAACAGTGGCTCAGATCGTGAGGGAAACCTGCGACGCCATCTGGGAACAGCTGAAAGACACCCACATGCCGTGTCCAGACAGGGATAGGTGGATGAGCATTGCGGGGAGATTTGAGGAGCAGTGGAATTTCCCCCCATTGCATAGGTGCACTTGATGGGAAACATGTTGTGATCCAGGCACCTCCCAACTCTGGATCCATGTTCCACAATTATAAGGGCACCTTCTCTGTAGTTCTGCTTGCCCTAGTGGATGCAGACTACAAGTTCACGGTGGTTGATGTTGGAGGTTATGGAGGAAACAGCGACAGGGGCATCTTTGCCAACTCCAATCTGGGCAAAGCTCTCCAGGCAGGACAGCTTGATGTCCCTCCACCATCTCTCCTACCAGCAGCACCAGAGTTGGGTCCTCTGCCATATGTGGTGGTGGGTGACGAGGCCCTCCCCATGAAGCCCTACCTCCTCCGGCCTTATTCAGGGCGTCGTCTTCCCGAGAACACACGGGTCTTCAATTACCGGCTCTCTAGAGCCCACAGAGTAGTGGAGAACACCTTTGGCATCCTCACACAGCGCTGGAGGGTCTACACTGGCAGACTACAAGTTGGCCCTGAAACAGCAGACAGCATAGTGAGGGCAACCTGCATTCTCCACAACATGCTGCGGTCTGCTAAGATCGGTGGCCAGAATCCAGACGATGAGCCGGATGAAGATGAGGTTGGGGTTGAGGACGAGGAAGAGAGCATCCTCAGACCCATCCAATGAGTCCCAAAGAATAAGGGATACCTTTTGCGGTTACTTTAACTCCCCAGAAGGACATGTGCCTTGGCAATATGCCCATGTCAACCGTGGTACTCGTCTGGGGCGCTCACTTGCAAGAGCTCTAGTGGAACCATGAGCACATGCAAATTGAATTGACCTCTTTCTTCTATTTCTCCTCCTATGATTACCAACCTGCATTCAATTTTAGATTCCTGTTGAAAGACAACACAGCAGTGGCACAACACATTAAATACACAGCAATCAGTTCATTTTCATTAATATATCTAATTTAAATAATAAAGTTCTTATGAGTTATGCAAATATTTAATTAAATGTTAAATGTATTGTAATTGTTGTTGACAGAACTCTATGTATATAGTATTATTGTTGTAAATTATTAAGTCAATGGGTTATTAAGTCATTTGTCATCATTTGTTCTATTGGTGTAATAATAAAAGCCATGTTTCTTGACTTGAAAGTTCTTTAATATATTTCAACATAAAAATTAACAGTTATAAACAATATAAAACACATAAATAAAATAATAAATAATCAGTGTAACAAATGAACAAAAATGTAACAAAACATAAATTATAGCAGCAAATAAAATTAACACTTCATGCAAATAACCAATACACCAACATACCCAGCGAAAAATTTGCTGTATGCCTATCCATCCATCGGCCATTATCAGTCAATATCAGTATCGGTTGATGTATATTTGCTGATACCGATATTGACTGATAATGGCCAATATGGGCCGATAACAATGTGTGGCCGCTATATCGGTGCATACCTACCCATAACCAACAAGGACATGGATAACTTAATGGCAATGTATTCCAATGAGAATGGAGCAGATTCTCCCACAATCTGCTCCATTTACATTGAAATGCATTGGCAGATTTGGCTTATCAGCTAGCAAACATACTTTGGTGTGACTGTGCCCTGAAACTCTATAAATTAGAGGGAGGTATATTCAGGGTATGTGTGGTGGTGCTGCTGGTGCTGGCTGTATCCTGGCTGCGGCTGACTATAAGCTGGTCCAAACTCGGCCTCATGGACCAGGCCCTGTATCTTATATTTCAGCCAGGACTGCCTCTCTGGGGGGAGTCTCCTGATGGCCAGTGCCAGGCTGAGCAGGAAGAGGGTCACCTCATCCTTTTCTTTCTCTCTCTCTCTCTCTGCTCGGCCCTGGCCTCCTTTCTGAGCAGGTACTCCTCCAGATAGGTTTCCTCACTAGCCTTCCTTTTTGCCTTGCCATGTCGTCTGTGAGTGGGGTGCAACAGGTAAACTAATCTGTTTAATTCGATAGTAATGCACTGACAAAGCAACTACATAATACAAGTAATAGGATCTATGCAGAAATGCCATTTCGACTTGAACCGGAAGCACTTCCTTGCTTACGGTGCCACCAAGCGCCGTATAACGTTTAATTGGCTGGTAATTATAAAGACCACTGGGTGGCAGGCCGCATGGCAAAATGATGTTATTAGTCTATTTTATCATTTAAGCCTATTGTTAATATATTATTATTTGGCTAAAGTAGTACAATCATTAAAACATCATAATGATTTTGATTGATTTTGTGATTGATTATCAACAATAAACCCCAGAGTCTGTGTTCACTGTGCGCCACAGCGCTGATCTGGACAATAGTTGGATCTGTGAAGCTTGTATGTATAGGATGTCTGCTGTGTGTGCCAGCACGGTGTATTGCAACATGTTGTAAGCTAGCTGCTCTGATATTTTCAATGCGTGACACCATCATACGATGAACAGACTGATCTATGACAGTGCACACTGCAGAAACCACACTGACTGTCAGATCATGATACAATTTTAAAATCATTATGGTGTTTTAATGATTCTACTACATTTGTCAAATAACAATATGAATAATAGGCTTAAATAATAAAATAGCCTATAACATAATTTTCCCATGCAGCCTGCCACCCCATTGGCTTCTGTAGTTACCAGCCAATTAAACAGATTATGCGGTGCTCGGTGTGGGCATTTTCAAACTAATCCTTCCCGTCGAAATGGCGTGTCTGCATATAGCCTATAGATAGAATAATTTCTAAGAAGATAATGGATAGTTGCAGTGCCAGGTGCGGGTCTACCTGGGGGCTACAGCAACACTCTCCTGCACTCTTTCTGGATCCATATCAGGGACAGAAGGGTCTGAGGATCCAGCAAGGCCTGATGGCCCAGCTGCCTCGTCTGTCTCCTCACCCTCCTCCTCGACCTCCAGGTTACTCCCCGTCCTATTCAAGAACAAGTAATTAGAGCTGTGGAGACCCTGTATAGCGTTAGCCTGTGATAGCCACCAGGAGGCTGACTGTTAGGGGGAAATATGTAGGGTGGTATTTCTTCTTTGGCTTAGTGGGGATGTGCGTACAAAGTTTCACAGAAACTGGGCGCTGGGTTCACAATCTGAGGCATATTTTTTACAAAATGAGGCACTTCTGCAAATTTTGGAAGCCAATCTTGGCTAAGCAGGATAAAATATGAAAACTGACCAATCTATCTTGATCACATGACTATACAGATACAGTGCACCAATTTGTGTGATTTATGGAAAGAAATTGTAGGAGTATTATCAAAATGTGTTTTGCAAAAATCAGACTCCTAGTGACGCTATAATAGAACGATGTGAAAGATTTGGGGGAGAAGTCCTGCCTTGACTTGAAACTTTGTAAAAAAAAAAGTCGCCCTTTATTTGATACAAAGAAATGGAAAAAACAAAACAACAAAACAAAATGAAGGCAAAAACATGCATATGCATGTTGGTTAACCCCTTTAGCCATAATAGCTGATGACTGTTCCACCTCTAAATCACCACATATTGCAAAATATATTTTGCACATGTTATAACATCATAAATTGGAACACTAGAACAGATCAGCAGATTACAAAAGTGTTTTTAATGCACCCCAATAAGGATAGACCACACATGGACATATGACTGAAAGATTATCTACTTATAAAACAAATAAAATATTTAAAGCTGTTTCTGTTATACATTATTATGTTTTAGTATAGAGGGTAATTATTAAGTATCTAGGCATATTTGTCTTATTAGCCAGGGATCCTTTTCAAGACCTTCATACGCATAGGAACCCAGTTATGAGCTGGTTATTACATTGAGCCAATTTTATTACAATATGATCACTTATTATATTATTATTATTTCTATCGCTCTACAGTAGTGTCGTGTGATACTGCTGTGTGCATGACTTTATGGCCAACCTTAATAGACCTTGTAAACTGTACCGTCAGTGCTGCTAATAAAATATCCAATCAATCAATAGCTTTGCCCCATTTGGTCCCCTATATATCTTTTTTGTATTTGAGCATTGTAATCATGATGGTACGTTCGGTATCCCTTTCACTCGCTGGTAAACACAACAAACTCGAAACAGCAAACACATTATAAACCAAGCGTGTTTACATTACGCCCTAATAACACATTTGCATCGTTGACATTGTTAAACAACATCTATGACACTGTATACCAACTTTTACTTGACTTTAAAAAAGTTACCAGGCTGGTTAGCCAGCTCCTTTGCTGCATGTAGCTACTAGCTAGCTAGTTGACCAAATATGTTCGAGGATTGATACATGTGTATATTATGCACTCACCAGGTAGTTGGAGGTCCTCCTCGATCTCCTTCCATCTGTTTTGTATCGTAATTGTATCAGAAGAGGAGTCCGAAGCGACAGTACCATCTTCGTCGTAGGGGGAGAGAAAATCCCACTCCTCTCTGAGCAACCCATTAGAAGCCTTGGCAGACAGTACACCGCAGAGCTTTCGGACAAACAGATGGGACGAAGCGTCATGAAGCAGCTGTCAGAAGGACTGGCAAAGATCGACCGAAGCCAGCTCCCTGGGAAGTTCAAAGTCTGGTGCTACCAGTTCACACTCTACAGGAGGGTGATGTGGCCGCTGAAAATGAGTGAGATCCCCTCATCCACTGCAAGTAAGATGGATGGAAAAGCCAACTCATTCATCCGAAAGTGGTTGGGGCTGCCACGGTGCCTCTCCTCAACGGGCCTCTTTGGAAGGAACATACTACAGCTGCCTTTGCAATCAATCAGTTTGGGATACATGCAGGAAAAGACCAGGCTTGTCCTCGAGTTGAGAGAGTCCACCGACCAGACTGTACGGAACGCAAACGCCAAGGTTCCCACAGGCCGGAAGTGGAACGCCAAAACTGAAGTCGACCGAGCCATTGGTCGACTGCAACATCAAGAGATTGTCGGCAGAGTCCAGGCAGGAAGAGCAGGACTAGGGTGGGGGGAAGCACCATGGTTCTGGTCCAAGGCCAGCCGCAAAGAGAGGAAGGAGATGGTTGTGGCGGAGGTGACAAGGACGGAGGAAGAGCGCTACAAGATCAAGGCTGTGTCGCAGGGCCGACAGGGTAGCTGGACAACCTGGGAAGGAGTAGCCAACAGAAACATCAGGTGGGCAGACCTATGGAAGATCCCACAGGCAAGACTCAGCTTCCTTGTCCGCTCAACCTACGACACGCTTCCCTGTCCGCGGAACCTCCACCAGTGCCTGACGCAAGCCTTCAGCACATCTTGTCAGGCTGCAAGATCGCACTCTCCCAAGGACGCTACAGGTGGCGCCACAACCAGGTCCTGAGGAAGCTGGCTGAGGTGCTTGAGGGGCAGCGACAGGGCAACAAAGGGTCACCACCAGTAGGGAACCACATCAGCTTTGTCACGGAGGGTGGAGGAAGAAGAAACACCAGGCCAAGAGAAACATCCAGGCCCTTTGCCCCCGACCAGGAGTGGGACATGAGGGTCGACCTAGACAGACAGCTCCGCTTTCCCACTGAGATCACCACCACATCTCTCCGGCCCGACATAGTGGTGTGGTCCACCAAGGCGAAATCCGTACACCTCATCGAGCTCACGGTGCCAATGGAGGAGGGGATTGAGGCCGCCTTCGAACGGAAGAAGGCCAAGTACTCCGACCTTGCCGCTGAGTGCCG